CATGCCACACCACGCCACGCCATGTCACGCCATGTCACGCCATGCCACGCCACGCCACGCCATGTCACGCCATGTCACGCCATGCCACGCCATGCCACTCCATGCCATGCCACGCCACATGCCATGCAATGCTTCAAATGCCACCCGGTGAGCATACCTGAGCCTCCCATGCACGGGCTCTGGTGCCGGCACCACCCAGCCTCTGTTCAATGCCATGCCATGCCATGCCATGCCATGCCATGCTATGCCACGCACATGGTGCATGCATACCTGAGCCTCCCATGCACGGGCTCTGGTGCGGGCACCACCCGGCCTCCGTTCAGCGCTGCCAGTGCCTGTGTGAGATGATAGAGAAGCATGCAAGGTGGTTGGTAGGAGTGGCATTAGCGGCAGCAGACGGTCCGAAGTGAGGCAGACAGGAGAGGCAGGAAGCAGGCAGGCAGGCGATGCTCACAGAAACAATAAACAACAGGTGGGCCAACGGGAGTGAGAGGTTCAATGCAGACTGATGTTCAAAGAGTGAGAGGTTTTCCTTTATCATCAACTCTAAGAAGTGCTGTCTGTACCTGATGGCCCATGCAGACTCCGAGAATAGGGATGTCAGCGCACTCCCTCAGCACGTCCGCACACACTCCTGCTCATGGGCCGTGGACAGCCAGGCAGCCGCGCACACACACACAGACAGTAGCCGCAGGGAGACACGGATTATGAATAGGAGACGAGTTCTAACCCGCTAGTCACTCCCTCCGCACATCCGCACACACATCCGCACACACATCCGCACACACTACTGCCTACAGGCCATGGACTGCCGGACAGGCCATGCACAGCCAGGCAGCCACACAGACACACAAAGCAACAGGGAGGGAAACACGGGTCATGAATAGGGCAGCACAGCATGGCACAGCATACTGTCTGCACACCAACGTCAGCGCATCAATACATAGTCCAGCATAGCATAGCACAACACAGCATAGCACGGCACGGCACTGTACAGCACAGCACAGCATGCTGCTTAACCATGGGTTAGAAACAACAGCACAGCAGGGCGTGCCGGGGCCGGGTGAGATGGCGTTGCTAGGTATGAGGCGCCTTTGACAGCGCATTACGCAGTTACAGCAGCATTAACTAGTAACCACGCACCGATATCAGCAGCGCAGCAGGGCGTGCCGGGGCCGGGCGAGATGACAATAGAGTGGAAGAGGCGCTGGTGTAGCAGCAGGTGCCTGAGGTACTCCCAAGATACCTCGTTGTTTCTCACCACCACTGGGGGGACTGCAGGTGGGTGGGATGGGACATGGGGAGACAGAGAGGGAGAGGATTGTATGCAGGAAGATGCGTAAAGAGAGAGGAAGAGGCACTGGTGCAGCAGCAGGTCGTTGGGGTACGACGACCATGGCACCTCGTACAGATTGAAACACCCATGTATGCACGCACCTCCAGTCACATGCATCTATGCATCCATGCATCCATGCATCCATGCATCCATGCATCCATGCATCCATGCATGCATCCATCCATCCATCCACCCACCCACCCACCCACCCACCCACCCACCCACCCACCCACCCACCCACCCACCCACCCACCCACCCACCCACCCACCCACCCACCCACCCACCCACCCACCCACCCACCCACCCACCCACCCATCCATCCATCCATCCATCCATCCATCCATCCATCCATCCATCCATCCATCCATCCATCCATCCATCCATCCATCCATCCATCCATCCATCCATCCATCCATCCATCCATCCATCCATCCATCCATCCATCCATCCATCCATCCATCCATCCATCCATCCATCCATCCACCCACCCATCCACCCACGCACGCACCTCCATTCACGTCGGCTAGCAAGTGGTAGAGGTTGAAGGTGTAGCTGTCGTAGTTGTCAATCAGCAACGTCCTCATTACAAACTGATCCGCTTCAGTGTCACCTTCCCCAGTATCGTCCTCGTACATCCCCGTCCCCTGCAATCCCTCACTCGGACAGTTACCACACGTCTCCACACGCTTATCTGTGCCCTGCTGCCCCTCTCTCTGCACCTCATCTTCCTCCACTGGTTTCTCTCTCAATCTGCTCCCATCTGCCTCCAAACGGCGATCCCTGGGATTCCCTGGCGTAGGTTCCGCAGAAGCTTCGGCGATGACGGGTACGTCAGCACTGACGTCACTCCTGCTTCTACACGAACCGTTACTGCCGCCACTGGCCTTGACACTGCCGCTGTGGCCAATCGCTACGGGGATCAGGCGCCCCCGTGACGTCAGTCCTGCCTTGGGACTACCGCTGTGGCTGATCCGTGAAGAAAGAAATCGTTCCCCTGTGGCTGTGGGCAATCTTGAAAGGGGTGCAGCTGTGGGGCTGAGAGGCGGGTTACGCGATCTGCGTGTAGCGACGCGGGTCCAGCTTGCACGGTTGTAGTCGCGAAGTGATTGTATTGAAGGACGAGCAGCAATTGGTCTGCAGACAGCTGCTGGTTGCAGGCTTCTTTTGCGAATACTCGTTATAAGCCTAGAACACGAGGAGCGAGAGAGGAGTGTGCTACAGGCAGCTTCTGGTGCGCCGAGCCCTACGGGATGCTGCGACGTAAGACACGTGGAAGCCATGAGGGAAGGATTTCGCGTATAAAAAAACTTAATTGCGAACTAGATGGTGTCTTTAAGGAGAAACCACCGCCATTACTCTTCTATCTTGTGCCTGCTTCTTTTCCTGCCTCTGCCTTAATGCACCAACGGATGGCTCGACGTGCGGCAGATGGAAGGCATCGAAGGAGGGACGAGCCACTGTCCTAAGCTAGCTCACCGACGCGCGTCGTGAGAGTGAGACGTTGCACGACACTTGTGAATCAGTGGATTAGCAGATCATTCGGTATGCGCTAAAAGGAGGTCATGAAGGAGAGATGAGCCACGGCCCTAATCGAGCACCGCACGCGAGTCACGCGATCAACGGGCTGACGGGATCAGCCGCCGTGAACTACGGATGACGTGACACCAGCACCTGATGACGATGACGGTGTATTTTTATCCCCAACGAGAGGTTGGCACTGCTACACGATCATATGGCTACGTACGCGTTATTACACGTATCTCGTCGCGGGGTGTTGTCAAAGGAAGGCCTGGTTCGGTTTGCCTCTGGATCATTTCTGTTACGGGGTCGTATGCGGCTGGAGAGGGTGCAGAAGTATTTTGCCTGAACCTGGCGTGGTTGAGGGTCGAACTTCTCCCTGCGATTACATGCTTGCGACCCTCGGGAAGATCCGCGTTTTGATGTAGTCCACGAAACGTGCAAGAAAGCAGCTAAGGTTTCTCGGTACATCTTAAAGCCCAAGACCTGAATTACTCAACGCAAGTCAACAGAGGCAAAACTGTGGGCAGAGGCAGGCAAACTGTGCACAGTTGGCCTTGTATTTTTGTAATTCGGGTCTTGGGCTTTAAATAGTACGTGGAACTACGGTGATAGAAGTTACGCGACGGTTCTTGTGATTCACTTCTCGGTGCTCTCGAACTTGAGCATCCAATCAGGCCGTAGGGAGTACGAAGGGCATCCATTCACATTCACATCACACGCCCTAATTCGGCAGCACTGACTCTGACCTCCACCATTTCTTTACACCACGCACGTCTTCTCTATAGGCTGTTCCCACATATCCTAGCATTCGTTGCGATCATGTGGTATGTGCTCTAGTACGGTTTGAGGATATTCGCATCAGACTTTACGTAAATGTCCAGCTTTCTAAGACCCTACCTCCAACAGACCCTACTTCCATTTCTAGTTCTTCACAGCAAGTTAGCGTCGTATCATTTGATCACTTTTCGTCATCTTGCTCCGTCAGAGCATCCCGGATCGCTTGCCATCTTGCCAGGTGCGTGAGCGGGCTTACGGTGATCAGTAAACTGCGTCCGAGTCACGCCGCGCAGTCTATCGTCCCAAACGTACACACCTGATAGAGGTCGAGTCACGAGGTGTTTTGTGGTTTAGCGCGTTCGATTCTGCATCTAGAACGGTTGGTTTGGGTATTGAGCGAATGCGAGTGTTTGGTTACACGCCCTAGCAGCCCTTTTCTTTCGCTAGCAGCCGCTCAGCTCTGCGTCGTCGCCATCTGCACTCGCGCCTTACTGCAGTTACTCTCAAAACATTCGCAATAGTCTTCGTCACGTTGCTACCTGGTTTCTCTGTTCATCGCCGCTTCAATTAAATCTGTCGCAACTGTCGCATTTAATCTGTCGCAACGGACGCGTTTCATTCATCGATCGCCTCACTGCGCGCCAGTTGCGTCAGATCAGCGTTCTCGCACCTCTTCCTCCTCGCTCTTTTGAGTGAACTCGCATTCTTCCTGCTGCTTCGCCCTTAGCCCCGTTACTTCCCTCTGCCTACTGGCATCACGGCCGTCTTTCTCTCACCTACGCTTTCTTCATTTCTCCCCACACTTCCTTCCATTTATGCTCTTTCTCCCCTCTCCCTCCCCCATCTCCCTTTCCCCTCTCCTCTCCCCTCTCCCTCTCCCCACTCCCTCTCCCCTTTACCTCTCCTGTCTCCTTCTCTCCTCTTCCTCTCCCCTCTCCTCTCCTCTCTCCCACTCCCCTCTACCCCCCCCCCCCTGCCCTCTTCTTCTCCCTTCTCCTTCCCCCCCCTTCCTCTCCCGTCCCCTACTCCCCTCTCCTTCTACCCTCTCCTTCTCCCCTCTCCCCTCTCCCCTCTCCCCTCTCCCCTCTCCCCTCTCCCCTCTCCCCTCTCCCCTCTCCCCTCTCCCCTCTCCCCTCTCCTCTCTCCCCTCTCTCCTCTCCCCTCCCCTCTCCCCCTCCCCTCTCCCCCTCCCCTCTCCTTCTCCCCTCTCCTTCCCCCCCCACCTCCCGCCTTCTCCCTCCTCATCCACTGCCACATGTTCATTCGCAGCCCTCTGGCCCGTGGGAATCCAGCAAACGAACGTGACTTCCCTCCACTGCTGCACGCACATTCGCAAATTCGCTGTAGCCGATACCGCATCAGTCCATGGCGAATCCCGCGTTTCAGGGAGGTCCCTTGCCCCACGAGCTAGACGTGCGGGGAATGCTGCAGCTGGCGAGGCAGAGGGTGGACGAGGGGCAACCCTCCGCGGCCCTGCAACTGGTGAGCCTTTTGTGCCCTGCAGGGAACCATCACAGTTCCCCCCGCCCCTCTCCCCTCGCCCCACGGGATGGACGTGCGGGAATGCTGCAGCTGGCTCGACAGAGGGTGGACGAGGGACAACCGACCGCTGCCCTGCAACTGGTGAGCCTCTGCCTTTCAATCGGTTAGCATCTGTGGTTTGAGTCGACTCAAAACACACCTCGCCCCACGGGCTGGACGTGCGGGGCATGCTGCAGCTGGCGCGGCAGAGGGTGGGTGGATGAGGGACAGCCGTCTGCTACCTTGCAATTCGTGAGCTCTTTGAGCCGACTCAAAACACACCTCGCCGCAACGGCTGGACATGCGGGAAATGCTGCAGCTGGTGCGACAGAGGGTGAGTAACGACAGCCCTCCGCTGCCTTGCAATTGATGAGCCTGCTGTGTCGTGCAATTAGTGAGCCTGCAAAGGCCCACCACAATCCGCTGCAAAGGCCCACCACAATCCGCCTTCGCCGCTCGCCCAACTGCCTGCTCTGACGGCCACCCAATTAAGTTGGGCTGAACTTATCTGGGGGGGTAACCTTCAGAGCTTCCAGTGTCCAGAGTCTGGACGCATCCACACACCCAGACGCTGGATGCTTGGCCAGAGTTTTGGGGGCAGCCCAAATCATCATTACCATAATTTTTTATATTATTTACATCATTGCCCTCCCCTTCACCATTACCAGGTGTAGGCCTTTCTTTTCGCTAAGTAGTTTTCTTCCTTCTTTTTAAGTAAAACCTTCCTCGCCTTTCTTCCCTCTTCCCATCCGCCCACCCCCCTCAGATCATAGCAGTGTTGAGAGAGCAGGGCGGGAAGGCAGCAGTGCTGGCGGCAATTTGTTTCTGAGGTTCCTCAAAATCAGAGTCCTCCCTTCTTCCTCCCATCCTCCGCCCACTTGCCCTCAGATCATAGCAGTGCTGAGAGAGCAGGGCGGGAAGGCAGCAGTGCTGGCAACAATGTGTTTTCGAGGTGCCTCAAAAACAGAGTCCTGCCTCCCTGCCTCCCATCCTCCGCCCAACCACCCTCAGATCATAGCAGTGCTTAGAGCGCAGGGCGGGGAGGCAGCAGTGCTGACGGCACTAACTCAAGCCCGAGCCATGCACCACAACCAGCAGCACATGCAGCAGCTACGGCAGGGAGCGCTGACTCACTGCATTTTTTCCTCTTATCCACCTCTTCTCCCCCTCCCTCCACCCACCCCCTCAGATCATAGCAGTGTTGAGAGCGCAGGGCGGGGAGGCAGCAGTGCTGACGGCACTAACTCAAGCCCGGGCCATGCACCACAACCAGCAGCAGATGCAGCAGCTACAGCAGGGAACTGATGACATCACCGCCTTGCTGGCGCGCTGCGCCATTGGCAGCGCTGACGTGGCGGTGCCAGCTGGCACCGGGCAGATGGCATCAGGGGGAAGTGCTACGGCGTGGGGAGGAGGGGACATGGGTATGGGGGGGAGCAACAGCATGGGAGAGCAACGCGGGAACGGGCCACTGAATGGGGGAATGGAGGGGGTAGATGGATATGCCTCTCATTCAGGGTATGGACCGGCAGAGCAGACAGCAATGTATGGGATGCAACCAACAGCAGCAGGCTATGGGATGGATCAAACAGGGAGGCAAGGGATCGACCCAGCAGCATATGGGATGGACTCAGCAGGGAGGCATGGGGTGGATGGGGCGGCGATACTGGCGGAGCAGGGGCGCATGCAGGTGGTGGCGGATGCAGCAGCGGATGGCAGCAGTGTGACGTGCTCTGTGTGTCGGGGGGTGATCAGCGGATCAAGATGGAAGGAGCACGTGCAGTATTGGTGCCGGGCTGCTGTACACGACCCCATGGGGGACAGTACGAATCTTTCTCCTTAAACTGATTTCTGCGGAGTGGCGGGCATGTGCTAGGGCGTGTGCTTATGGCATGGCCGTGTGTGCCGATGGGTGATTAGTGGGGCAAGGTGGAAGGAGCACGTGCAGTTCTGGTGCCGGGCTGCTGTGCACAATCTGACGGGGGATAGTACGAGTTTTTCTCCTCAAACTGACTCATGCGAAATGGCAGGCAATAGGGGGTGTTAGTAACGGGGGTTATGGCAGGTGTTAATCATGGGGCACATGTGGTGGGCGGTACAGGACTGGACGGCAATGTAGGGAGCATATGGAATTGGATGGAGGCAGCAGCATGTCATGGCTGCGCACTGCTGATCAGTTGAACTGGTCTTGTGACATAATTCTCAGCGAGCAGCAAACTTAGAGCAAAAGAACCACAACACCAGATGGCAGCAGCATGGCATGGCTGCACACTGCTGATCAGTTGAATGGTGGAGGGAGCTCTTGCAGTTAGGATGCCAGGCAGTCATGAGGGGTAGCGGCTGTTGGCCTTGACTGCGCTACGTGCTGATTGAGACGCATTAGTTGGTGATTGTTTGTTACACTCTGGCCTAAAGAGCTCTGGGGGGTCGGTGTTTCTCAACGTGGCACGTCACGCGTGGCTTATCTATCAACAGCTGGTTTTTTCTGCTGTCTGAAAACTGTAATGCCCTGAGTTTATCACTAGGGTGCTATGAAATCTTGTTGGGAAAATGGGGTGTGGGTGTTGTTTGTTAGTGATCATAATCTACAGCACACAGGTGCTTTTTGATAGACATGTATAGGACACAGGTAAAAGAATATAGTATCGTATCATTCAAGACGTACAGGTACTGTAGATAGCAATAATATGTGGCCAGAAGGCAGCGGTGTTTGTTGCATGGGGGCTACAGTATGGTACCTGCAAGAGTTGCAAGAGCGGTCTGTTAGTTGGAGCCCCTTCAGCTTTGGTACACACTTTGTGTTGTTAAAGCTGTCGTCTACATACATGGCGGGAGAGGCTCTGGTTTATCACTTGAAAACCAGGTAGCCTTCCGCTTCAGTGGCGAGGTGTGTTTCCGAGTTTGTGACAACACAACCAGGCCTCTGGTTAGGATTTGAGCCTCTCTTTCTCGTAAGGCCAATGCTCCGTCTTCACTCTTTCTGAAAGGGTACCTGGCAGAAACGCTCTTTCCTAGCAGGGTGCATAATTAGCGTCCAGTTAGCATATATCTGCATCACTTAGAATATCTCGTGTTGCAGTGAGATGCGGGGTAACATTGGTGCCAAGGATGCAGGTTCGACACCCGGTGAAGGTGATATCTGTTGTGGAATGCCCTGACATTGTGTTTTACGCGGGAAAATGTAACATCCCTGTTAGAGCGAACTCTGTTTCGTCAGTGTGTCTACACCTCTTAAAGCTGCGTTCTACATACCTAGAGCGGGAGTCCTCGGATTATCACTTGAAAACAGGGTGACCAGTTTTTGAACTCGGTCCCCTTACCTGCAAAGCTAACGGTTCAGAGGGGTGAAGAGAGGGGGTTGGGGTTCTTTCCGCCTGAAACCGAACTCCCCTGGTTGTTTCCCGCCCTTCCGCAGACCCTCCCCCAAACTACGCGTCAGCACGAAATTGGCCTCAGATTCGCGTTTCCTGTCTGAGTTCGTCTGCAGCGGTGGTTCTGAAACTGCTGACTTCGTTCTCCAATCAGGACGCACGAAAGGGTGGGCATAAGAAATACACCCAAAAAGCACCACTTAGTATGTAGACCGCAGCTTTAACTCTGAAATATCAGTGTCCTAGAATTAAACATTTTTTTTTGTAAGGGTCTAGAAATGAACCACTCTGAAAAGAAAGGGTGCATAATGAAAACCAGCCTTATAGTCAGTGTCATAAGGGTGATTCACCCTGTTAACCAGAGGCCTGAACACAACCCCCGCCTGTAATTTCCCTGCTCATGATTGGCTAATTAATTTCGCCAAACCCCTCCCCAAACCAACCTCACGAAATTATCGCGAAGTCACCGAGGGTTGTTTCCCAACCGAACCAAATCACGACACTGGCGGATTTCGCCAGTTCTGTTTGACTCCCTCGCACCTACTGATACTGGAAGCGGGTCATTCGTAAGCAAATCAGCGTGCGTCGTTGGGTGTGCATCCTAAATAACCCCGGAAAATACCTCGAGGAATGTAGACCGCAGCTTTAAAACCGAAATGCAAAATAGTGAACCCGTCTCCAGCTTGAAAGAGAGCTTGTCGAGCGAAACAATTTTCAAAACCAAACCGACAAGTTTGCACTATCATTGAGAGGGTTTGAACAGATCGAACAAATCTGATTGGTTCCCGCAAAAACTGGAAAAAGGAACACAGCACGTCAGGCGTCGCATCTCTGTTTGGGGAGCCGCAGAGCAGAAGCACTGCGATCGTTTTGTCACGTCCCTGCGATTTTTTGCCCAGCTTGTGGTTCAAGTTGGGCATGGGTGAAGAACTACTACGTCTTCCGTTCAGTTTTTCGTGCTTCTTAGTTTTTAGTTGCTTGTCTAGCCATATAGCCCCAACTTAGGCTGTTGTTACCGCAACTTAGGCGCGTAGTGATTATATGTCATGATTGCGCAGTAATTGTGCCGTTTAGATTCTCTCTCCCGCCGCCCTTCCTCTTCCCGTCGCCCTTCCTCTCTCCCGTCGCCCTTTCTTTCTCCCGTGTCCTATCCTCTCTCCCGTCACCCGTCTTCTCTCCCGTCGCCCCTCCCCTCCCGTCTTCCTCTCTTCCGTCGCCCTTCATCTCTCCCGCCCCATCACCCACCTCGGCGTCTTCGCGCTCGCCCCGAAATGCCTGCCCGTCGCCCCGTCGCCCCGTGATCGTCGGCCCCTCTCGCTTTTCCCTCGCAGCGTTACTCTCCCCGTCACATATGCCCTCGCTTTTTTCGTCGCTCCTCGCGGCACCCTCATCGCCGCCTTCCCATCACCCTCGTTGCCCTCACTCTCCCCCCATCACCCTTTTTCTCTCGGTTCGTATCACCCCTCTTATCACCCTCACACTCTTCCCTCACATCGTCCGTCACCATCGCGTCACCCTTTCTCTCTCCCCTCACATCGCCCTCCTTGTCGCCGTCGCCCTCGCCTCAAATCGCCCTTCCTCTCTCCCTTCGCATCACCCACGTCGTAGCCCTGTCGCCCCCCAAATCGTCCCGTCTCCCTTTCGTTCTCCCTCTCGTTCTTCCCGTCGCCCTAGATGCAGCCGTCGCAATTTCCTCTCCCACCCACCATCACCCACCCCATCGCCTTCCCGCTCGCCACAAAACGCCTTCCCGTCCCCCACCCACTTTCTCCTCCCATCGCCTGCCTCGTCGCCTTCTCGCTCGCACTCAACCCCCTCCCGTCGCTCTTCCTCTCTCCCTTCCCATCACCGACCTCGTCGCCCTCGTGCTCGCCCCGAAATGCCTTCCCATCGCCTTTCGTCTATTCTCCCCAATCATTAGTCTCTGAAACACTCTCCAGATCGCCCATTGTATCCACCCGGTTCATCACCGACCTCGCGCCTTCGCTCTTGCTATGTAATGCCCTCTCCGCGCCCTTCCTCCCTCCCCTCACAATCTGTCTTTCCTCCCCGCCTCCCGTTCCTCTCTCCCCTTCCATCCTGTCGTTCCTCTCTACCCTCCCATCCCGTCGTTCCTCCTCTCTACCCTCCCATCCCGTCTTTCTTCCTCTCTCCCCTCCCATCCCGTTGTTCCTCCTCTCTTCCCTCCTATCCCGTCGTTCTTCCTCTCTCCCCTCCCATCCCGTCGTTCCCCCTCTCTCCCCTTCTCTCCCGTCGGCCCCCTTGTCCCCAGTCCCTTCTCTTCGCCGTCGACCAATCAACCGTCCCGACACCATTCCTCTTTTCGCCTTTCATTCATTTCTTTATTTCTATCTTCTTCGCCTGATTTCACCTGTGTGTGCCATGGATTTTGCTTGATCATGCCAGTGTTTGCGCAGGATTTTGCTAGTTTTTGCCTGTGTGCGCGCTGGATTTTGCCTGTGTGTGCGCTGTTTTTTGGACATAGGAATTCTTGTGAAGTTACGACGGCTGCTCTGTTGAATGTGGGATTGCAGCCTTGCGCCAAATTCGTACAGGAATCTGGGTGAAAATCGCCACCAATCAGATTTGTAAACAAGTACATCATGTTTTCCGTTCAGATCAAGACTCGTCTGGGATGAAAAAACGTAAAAACGCACAGGCCGTCAACTTTTCAAACGTTCGTAACAAACTTGTGTTTTCAAGTGGACCCAACTAGAAGGGGGGGGTCACTATTTTAGCTGCTGGCTTTAAGGAGGGCTGCAAGGTGTGTGTATCACGGGAGCTTTACAATTTCTAGCATTGGAAGCATGTCTGCTGGTCAGTGTGAGGTGAGAGCCAGAGGAAAGGCAGGAGTTGATGGGAAAGGTAGGAGTTGATGGGAAAGGCAGGAGTTGATGGGAAAGGCAGGAGTTGATGGGAAAGGCAGGAGTTGATGGGAAAGGCAGGAGTTGATGGGAAAGGCAGGAGTTGATGGGAAAGGCAGGAGTTGATGGGAAAGGCAGGAGTTGATGGGAAAGGCAGGAGTTGATGGGAAAGGCAGGAGTTGATGGGAAAGGCAGGAGTTGATGGGAATGGCAGGAAGGAATTGATGGGAAAGGCAAGTGTTAATGGGGAAAGGAGGCTTTGTCGGAAAGGGCAGGAGTTGACTGAAAAGCCGAAGTTGACTGTGGCGAAGCACGACAGCCAAGGCCTAAGCACAAGTGCTGCTTGGACGGGAAAAGGGGGAGAGAGGTAGAGGGCAGAGGCATGATTTTGATGCGGTGACTGAATGCTTGACATGCAAGGAACTCGCAAAGGTGTGTGTGCAAGGAGGGGAGAAAAGAGAGAGTGAGGAGGGAGTAAGAGAGGGGACAGCAGGGGGGAAAGGAGGGAGCCTTCCCCATTTACCCAGCCAGCCTTCTCCCTCACCTAGCTTTTCAGCCGCTATCCTCTCGCCAACCACTTGAAGGCACGAGAAATTCATCTGGCCTGCTCCCACTGCTCCCACTGCTCCCACTGCTCCCACTGCTCTCACTGCTCCCACTGCTCCCACTGCTCCCACTGCTCCCACTGCTCCCACTGCTCCCACTGCAACCCCCCAAGAATTCTTCACCCACTCTTTCCCATGTACCCAGCCATCCTTCCCCCTCACCTGGCAGAACAACCGCTATCCTCCTGCCAACCTTTCGAGGAACCCAGGTGGCCTGCTCCCACTGCTCCCACTGCTGCCAATGCTCCCACCGCTTCCCTCCCCAACTCCCCACCCACTCTTCAAACTCGTACCCAGCCTGCCTTCCACCTCACCTGGCTGAACAACCGCTGTCCTCCCGCCACCCTTTCTAGGGCATGAGAAACCCAGGCGGCTTGATCGTCCCATCACAAAACGCCACCGTCGCCGGAGAATTCGAGCCGCCCGAAACCGTCTGCAGGAACAGCGCGCTGGCGTTCGCAGTGCTGCCCGTGCACCCCGTGCCGCCCGAGCTGCCCGAGCTGCCCGAAAAGGAAGCCCCGCAGAAGCGGAGAGTCATGTAGCTGTATGGCTCTGTGACTGCATGCACGTCACTGCCAATACCGCAGCTGCCAGCGGGAATCCCGAGGGCGAGAAGGCTAGGGCGGAGGTCAATGCCGAGGGCCCTGTTGCTCTTGAAGGTGACAATGGAGAGAAAGAAGGAGGCGCCGTTCAAGTATACGGCTCCCCCAGACGCACCTGGAAGGATGGATGGGAGGGTGGGAAGGGCAGGTGACTCAACTCAAAACAAGACGTGCAGAAGCGGAGAGTCATGTAGCTGTATGGCTCTGTGACGGCATGCACGTCGCTGCCGATACCGCAGCTTCCAGGGGGGATGCCGAGGGCGAGAAGGCTAAGGCGGAGGTCAATGCCCGAGGGCCTTGTTGCTTTTGAAGGTGACCAGAGAGAGGAAGAAAGAGGCTCCGTTGAAGTAGATGCCTCCCCCAGACGCACCTGGATGGATGGAGGGGAGGGTGGGGAGGGTAGGTGGGGAGAAGCATGGAGAGGAGCTGAGGGTCTTTTGCTCTTGAAGGTGAGCAGAGAGAGAAAGAAAGAGGCGCTGTTTGAGTAGATGCCTCCCCCAGACGCACCTGGAAGGATGGAGGGGAGGGTGGGGAGTGGGGAAGAGCGATGGTGTTAGGGGCGGCGGTTGTGTGGAATTCTGCAGGTCTAGCACTTGTGAGTCTAAAGTGTGGGTGGTCCTGTCTTGTATTGAATCCTGTCTTCACACTAGACTAGACTCACAAATGTGGCTTTTCACTACCTTTCAAATGAAGTTGAGAAAATTCAGAGGTCATCACAGCACAGCAACACGCGCACGCACCAAACGCACGCACACCCACAAACACCACAACTGTTCCCATCAAAACACAAACACCTGGAACCACACCCTGCCAGTCACAGCCACCAAAAGTAAAGCTGTTTTGAGACGTTCCAAAACACACTCGTAAAACGCTTACTAGCTGTTCCCATCAAGCGTACACATGTGGAACCGCACCCTGCACCACTTTGCCTCCCAGCTTTGCAACTCAGCTCCCGGCCTTTGAAGCGCTCATCAGGGATGCTCCCATCAAGCATACACATCTGAAACCGCACCCTGCCAGTCCCAACCACAAAACTTTATGTTTTACCAAGATGTCTCAAAACCCAAGAGACCAAACCCGAACCCCCCAAATCCGAAAACCTGTACCCCTAAACCCCAAACCTTAATCGCTCACCAGCGCTGTTCCCATCGATCGTACACATGTGGAACCGCACCCTGCCAGTCCCAGCCACCGAAATCGCCCCTCCCACGCTGCTGGGCGCGCTGTTGTCCTTGAAACGGCAGCTCAGGAAGGAAAGAGAGGGCACGGCGCCACTGGGGTTCCACGCATTGATGTTGATGGCACCACCGCCACCCGTGGGCGATGTGTTGTTGATGAAGGCGCAGCGCGAGAAGATGCGATAGGGAGGGGTGGATTTTGCAGGGAAGGATTCGCTGGTGGGTTGGGTTGGGTTGGGTTGGGTGGGGGGCAACGGAGAGTGTGGGGGGAAACGGAGAGTGTGGGGGGAAACGGAAAGTGTGGGGGGAAACGGAGAGTGTGGGGGGAAACGGAAAGTGTGGGGGGAAACGGAGAGTGTGGGGGGAAATGGAGAGTGTGAAGGCTATCGATCACGGATTGCCGCCGAGTTGTTGTGTAAGATGCATCGCAAGGAGAGTGGGAAAATCTGAGTCGACTCAGGGACCACTTTTGAGTTGACTGACTCAAGAGTAACCCAGTTGTTGTGTAAGATGCAGCGACAGGAGAGACGGAACGGAATAATCAGAGTCGACTCAGAGACCAACTTGATCGTGATTTATGTCCATGTGGCGTGCTCCCCTGCACCACACACAATATCACCCCTCTCGCTCCTTCAACCACCCCCCCATTCACTCTCACCCTAGCACCCTTTTCACTCCACTCCCTCACCTTAGCACCCCTCCACCCACGGTAGGAGCCATGTTCCCAATGAACGAGCAATCAGTTGCGTTGATCGCCGCCTGGACCTTGAAAAAGACGCCTCCTGCCGCCCGCCAGAAGTTAAGGTTGACCAGAGTCAACACCCCCCCTGTGGGGCCGGTCGAGGGGGAGGTGAAAATGGGGAAGGCGCCATCCCCGCTGATATTACACCTGGTGTTGGGGAGGAAAGGGTGTGCGGAGCTAGAATGATGGAACGAAGCGGGTTGGGGAGAGGAGGAGAGAGGAGATGGATGGAGATGATGACAAGAACAATGACGATGGCGATGGCGATGGTGATGGCGATGGTGATGGCGATGGTGATGGCGATGGTGATGGCGATGGTGATGGTGATGGTGATGGTGATGGTGATGATGATGGTGATGATGATGGTGATGGTGATGGTGATGGTGATGGTGATGGTGATGGCGATGGTGATGGTGATGGCGATGATGATGGTGATGATGATGGTGATGATGATGGTGATGGTGGTTGCAACTATGGTAGTAGTGGTGACAAGATTGGTTGAGAAGGCACCCTTCTTGTGACTACCAAGTGGGGTCTAGTCTAGACTACCAACCTGACCCACTGGACCTACCATTCCCAGGTGAACCTACTACCACCTGGTAAGACCCCCACCCACCTGGTAAAACCCCCACCCACCTGGTAAAACCCCCACCCACATGGTAATTCTACCAACATCTGGTAACCCTACTGCGCACCTGGTAATCCTACCATCCAGATGGTAACCCTACTACCCACCAGGTAACCCTACCACCCCCACCTGGTAACCCTGTTACCAACCTGCTGGAGGCACACGCGCCCGTGATGGTCAGCTTGGCCGCGCCTGAGAGTGCGGGGAGGGGGCTGGGGAAAGGGAGGGTGCGGGAAGGAGGAAGAGGGGCGGAGGATGTGGAGGGAGGGGAGGGGGGTGGGGGAGCATTTGGAGTAGACGGCTCAAGCACGAGGCGAGCGAGAGTGGGTTCAAAATGGGAACGATAGGATAGGGTCTGCATGATGGGATGGGAGCGTAAAGAGAAGATAGGAGCGTGGTGTGCGGCAGTACCAAGCGACACACGTGGAGAGACGTGACATGTGCAGACGTGGAGAGACGTGACATGTGCAGACGTGGAGAGACGTGACATGTGCAGACGTGGAGAGACGTGACATGTGCAGACGTGGAGAGACGTGACATGTGCAGACGTGGATTGATGGGGAACTTACTCTGTGAGCTGCCTTTTGAGACGCCTCAAAAGAACTTACGTTGTGAGCTGCACGCTGGATGTGAGAACGAGCTCCGTGGCCGACGCGCCTGATCCTCTCTGTATTCCCGCCGCCACGTGGACACCCACCAACACGCACACACATAAAACACGCACACTAAGAGAGTGGACGAAAATTCTCATAGGCACTGCGGATGTTGCGGAAACCCGTCCTCGTCACAATCTTTCCTCTAGGACCTACTGGCTACAGAAACCCGACTTTTTTCTGGGTCCTTTGTCTTCGGTATATACATTTTTTTGGGTCGCGGAAAAATGAAATTGATCGTGATAAAGAAATCTCTCTCACAGCTGCGCGCTCAGCTCCTAGTGAGACTCAGGGTATCGCGGACTCGGGGTGCAGGCTTTACGTGCGAAGCCCCCGAGGCTGAACGCATTATAGGCGACAAGAACGCAAGACAGCGATCTTGCCTTTCTAATACAACTTTCCCACAACGCGCGGTTCTACAAACCCCTATGATCGCTACGGCGTGATACTACCGACCTTTAACAATTGGTTGAAACAACAAAACGCGATGCGATCGACGTGACTATATAGACTTGAAACCATTGATGTGAAACTACCAACGCGATACGATCGATCTACTTAGAACCGTCGATGTGAAACTACCAACGCTATTTGGACGACGTGACTACAACCGTCGACGTGAAATCCAGTTTATAACGATGTTACTTCGTCCCTACCGCGTTCGCCTTGTCACGGCATCCTCCAGTTTCGACGCCGCGATAGTCGCGATGATACTCTTCCGTACGCGGTACTCTCGGTCTGAATCCATCCATACTTACCGCGTTCGCCTTGTTGATGGCATCTTCCAGTTCCGACGCCGCGATCAACGCGGGACCGCAGATGATCCCACTGACTAGCGATGCGACGAGGAGGGAAGTGATTTGGATGGCTTGCACTGTGATCAGCTCTCTGTCACGAGCCATCCTGACTAACCGAATAATGTGGACTGAAAATAGTGGCGAACGATCGTAAGTGGAAATGCCTCGCACTTCGATCATGTGCACCAGAAGAAGCTATCGTTTTTTGTAATTCGTGAGAGCGAGAACCAGGTCAAGACTTGTTACATTCATGCTAGGCAGGTCATTTTTGTTTGTTTGCAATTCGCTTAGTAGGATTCTGTCTGGTGCACAATGGTCGAAAGCGGTGGAATACATTTGCGGTTTAACACCGTAGTTTAACGTATTGAACCGTGCTGAACGAGCTCCAAACGAATATACGCCCGTGGACGAGACACTAGTCACGAGCTGATGTGCAAGGGATACAAGAAACCTGCGCAGCGCAGCTGTAAAATTCATACACCTTGCTCAATTTTGACAGGCGGCACTCGCGGCGATTCCACCGCATCGCAGGGAGTGCAGTTATGCCTGCCTGACGCCACGGCGCGAATGGCGGTTGCGGGAAAAGGAATGGTGGGGATGGGTGGATTAAGGTTACGGAAAGTCTACAATACATATTGGTCATATAATGGTACAAACATCCGTAGGAGAAAAAATCATAAAGCCTGCAACCAATAGGAGCACACGATATTCCCCTATCCCTTTGGACAGCCCTAGCCAAGCTGAGTGCTCTATGAGAAAGGGGAAGTTAAGGTTTAAGGGATGGGTCTCCATCAGGGATGAGATTGAGGTGAATGAGAGATTTCATCAAAACCAAAACAAAGGAACCATAGGAAGATTTCACTGGCCAACAAAAACTGCTCCAGAATAAGTTGTAGGAGGATTTGCAGAACTTGCGGCAAGAGGAAGAAGCCTAAAAAACAAAAGCAGATGACTGACACAAGGCCTGGGTGCTTCTTGTGTGGCAGCCATCCGTTACAAAGATGCAGCCAGGTGTGTAGCCAGGTTTGTAGCCTGGTGCATAGCCAGGTGTGTAGCCAGGTGCGTAGCCAGGTGTGTAGCCAGGTGCGTATCCAGGTGTGTATCCAGGTGCGTAGCCAGGTGTGTAGTGTCAGAATCCCAGCCACTAACCACTGGGATAGAAGGGCTTGTTAAGTAGCGGGTCAATGCGCCCATAACCCCCCAGGCCAACGTGCCTGTAACCCTTCCCTAGGATCAATCGGGGATCTCCAGTGGACCTCTGACACCCCCCCGCACTGAGATGCCCGAGGTGCACACACTGGGATTCGAACCCGAGACCTTCGCTCTGATACCATGTCAGAATAGTAGCTAGTAGAGACTAGGGTTTGTGAGAGAGAGTTGGCCAAAAAGAAGGTTGCACTATAGGATGATAGAACAATGTATAGGACAGGGGAGGTGGTGAAGGGAGGTAGACCACCTAAGAGAAGATGGGTGATACTACACTAACTAACTAAACATGCAATTATATAAGAATATTACATTCTGACATCCCCCCTTAATTGCATGCCAGTGTAGCCAGTGAAGGGGCTCATCTCGAAGGGCAAGCAACACCGTGCCGCAGCTGGGCCCACCGCCGGGTACGGTGGAATGCCCGCCTGCGGTTTAACCCCCGCAGTGGATGCCCAGTGTGTGCGCGCGACGAGGAACGACGGCGCCCAGATACGACGGATAGAGAATAGACAAGGAAACCAGAAAATGCGAACCTCTCTCTCTCTCTTTCATCCCCCCTTAACCTCTCTCATCCCCCCTTAACCTCTCTCTCCTCCCCCCCACAGCAACAAGTGCTGCAGGGAGAGAGGTAGAGGCAAGGGAGGGACGGGTTGTCAAAGTATATGCATGTTATATATGTGTAGGCTGTAGTGGGGTAGCCAATATGGGGTACAACCCCTTTTAGGGTTTCATACTTGTACCCAACTCTTTCATAGTTCATTCATTCCTGTCTCTTGATTCTGACATGGTTTCAGAGCAGTAGGTCCGTAGGACCGTTTTTTTTCGGGCCCACCTACCGCTACCCCACGACTGTGACTGTGACTGACTGTGCCTGTGACGTGCTGCGCTGCGCGCGCCGTCTGCCTGCTGCCTACTGTCTGCTGACTGTGTGATCTGCTGCTGCTTAGAGCGCGCAGACCTAATTCCTGCGCGCGGCTCGTTTTTTGCCCACCGCGTCGCCCACCCTGCCCGAGTCGCGCCTCGGCAGCCCGCGCGCGGCTCGCTGCTGCTTCGCGCGCCGCGTCTGCAGCCCGCGCGGCGCGTTGCAGCCCCGCGCGTTGCGACAGCTGCCCGCGCGTCGTGCTGCAGCCCCGCGCGCCGCGCGCGCTGCCCGCGCGTCGCGCTGCAGCCCCGCGCGCCGCGACCGCTGCCCGCGCGTCGCGCTGCAGCCCCACGCGCCGCGACCCACCTGCTTCTGCCGCGGCCGCGCCCTGCCGCCGACACGGCCCCGCCCGGACGCTGACGCGGCCCCACCAGCCCTGCAGCGGACACGGCCCCGACCTGCCGCTGCCGCGGCCTCGCCCTGCAGCTGACGCGGCCCCGCCCTGCAGCTGCCGCGGCCCTACTCTGCAGCTGCTGCTGCGGCCCCGCCGTCGCCGCCGTCGTGCGCCTCCCCTGCCGCCGCCCGCCGAGAGCCGGCCCTGCCCGCCACTGGTGAGCACCTGCCTTGTTCGCGCACTGCAGCGCCCTCTGCCTGCCTGTCTACCTGCCTGCCTGCCTGCCACTCCTGCCGCGCCTGCCCTGCCCGAGCTGCTGCTGCTACTGTTGCTACTGTTGCTACTGGCGGTGGCCAGATGCAGCTCCAGCGACGCCCGCGCGAGTCTCTCACGCCTCAGCAGCTTCGTGAGTGGTACGCTAGTTGGGGTTGTGGCGGTAGCCGTCGTGACTGTCGCCCTGGAGCTGGTCGGTCGGGAGCGTCTGGCAGTGGCCAGCTGCAGCTGCAGCGGCGTCCGCGCGAGACACTTACGTCCCGGCAGCTTCACGAGTGGCACGCTCAGAGTAGAGGGTCTTAGAGTACCGTTCGCTGCTCGTACGTCCCACGCACAGGTGATCGGTCTGGTCAGGCTTGCGGGACACTTGGTCACACCCAGTCCCGCTGCTTCGCCCGTCTGAGCCACGCCTGGCGCATAGAGTTTGGTGACGAGGCTGAGCTCCCCACCTGGCAAGAGCTGCTTGGGCAGGGGGTAGATATCTTTGCTCTTGACTATGATGCTATTCTCACTGCCATGTATGCATTGCCTACTAGTGATGACCGTGCCTGTTCCCTGTGCGTACCGCCTGACCCAGGTATAGAGGCTGCTGCTCTAGGTGCTAGTGCGTCTCCTGCGCTAGGTGCTGGTGAGGCTGCTGCTCTAGGTGCTCGTGCGTCTCCTGCTCCAGGTGCTGGTGAGTCTGCTCTCTCTGGTACTGCGCCTGCTGAGGCCGTGTACACCTTCACACTTGACTCAGGTGCTTCCCGCTCCTTCTTTCGCGACAGCACCACACTCACGCCGCTCCGTCGGCCAGTTGCAGTCTCACTGGCAGACCCCTCTGGGGGTCCAGTCCTTGCGCACTCCTCCACGGTCCCGC